GGGTTTAGTAGCCAGACCTCTGCTGTGTGTGTACAATTACAGACTATCACATTTTTTCTTAGAGTGACAAGGAATTCAGTCATTTACTTTCCAGTAGTCTCATATTACTTACCTGGATTCATTTCTACTAATGCGTTTATATTAGGTTGGTGCAAAAGTAATTGTGTTTTTTTGCTATTAAAATGGCAAAACTGTAATTACTATTGCACCAACATATACAATTAAAACATGGGCTTGGTTGCTGGGTGCAGTGGCTGACGCCTGTAATCTCAGCACTTTGGGAGGCTGAGGTGGGCGGATCACGAGGTCAGGAGTTCGAGACCAGCCTGGTCAGCATGGTGAAACTCCATCTCTACTAAAAATACAAAAATTAGCCAGACATGGTGGTGTGTGCCTGTAGTCCCAGCTACTGGGGAGACTGAGGCAGGAGAATTGCTTGAACCCTGGAGGCGGAGGTTGCAGTGAGCTGAGATTGTGCCACTGCACTCTAGCCTGGACGACAGAGTGAGACTACATCTCAAAAAAAAAAAAAAAAAAAAAGTGGGCTTGGCCAGGTGCAGCATCTCACAATTGTAATCCCAGCACTTTGGGACGTGGAGGCAGCAGGATCATTTGAGCCCAGGAGTTCAAGACCAGCCTGGGCAATGTGGTGAAATTCTGTCTGTACAAAAAATAAGTTTTTTAAAATTAGCTAGTTTTGGTAGTGTGTGCCTGTAGTCCCAGATATTGGGGAGGCTGAGGTGGGAGAGTCACTTGAGCCTGGGAGGTAGAAGCTGCAGTGAGCTTTGATCATGTCACTGCACTTCAGCCTGGGCAACAGAGTGAGGTCCTGTCTCAGTAAATAAATAAATAAAATAAAAACAAAAAAACACGAGCTTCACTCTTCCTAACTTTGAATCCTTTATAATTGTGACTAGGTCTTACCCTTTCCATTTTTGTTTTCTTTTTCTTTCCTTTCCTTTTCTTTCTTTTTTTTTTTTTTTTTTTTTTTTTGTTTAAAAAAGGGGGGTATGGTCTCACTTTCTTGCCCAGACTGGTCTCAGACTTCTGGGCTCAAGCAATCCTTCCACCTTGTCCTCCTTAAGTGCTGGGATTATAGGTGTGAGCCATTGCGCCCAGTGGACTTTCCCACATCTGCATTTTAATGTCGATGTTTTATAAGTAGGTACATTTGGAAAAGCAACCTTCCACAAAGTAACAGAAACAAGGTAACACAGCCGAGCCCTGTAGCACACTCCTGTAATCCCAACACTTTGGGAAACCAAGGTGGATGGATCTCTTGAGCCCAGAAGTTCCAGAGCAACTAGGGCTACACAGTGAGACCCCCGTCTCTACAAAACAATACAAAAATTAGTGGTGGTGCACGTCTGTAGTGCCAGCTACTTGGGAGGCTGAGGTGGGAGGATCACCTGAGCCCAGAGAGGTCGAGGCAACAGTGAGCTGTGATCGTGCCACTGCATTCCAGCCTGAGTGACAGAGTGAAACCCTGTCTCAAAAAAAGGTGTGTGGGGGGGGAGGGAGGTGGTTGGGGGGAGGGGGGAAGGAAGAGAGAAAGAAAAAGAAACACTATACCATCCTGGCTAACACAGTGAAACCCCGTCTCTACAAAAAATACAAAAAATTAGCCAGGTGTGGTAGCGGGCGCCTGTAGTCCCAGCTACTCGGGAGGCTGAGGCCGGAGAATGGTGTGAACCCGGGAGGTGGAGCTTGCAGTGAGCCAAGATCCAGTCACTGCACTCCAGCCTGGGCGACAGAGCAAGACTCTGTCTCAAAAAAACAAAAACAAAAAAAGAGACACTATAACAGGTTTTCCAAAGTATGATTTTTCTGGAATTTGACTCTGAAAGGATAGGACAGAGTTACCATTTTAAAAAATTATTTTTTTCCTCCCATCCACAGAAATAGACTCATTTTTTTTAAAACCTCCATCCTTACAAAACCTTGGGGAGTAGAGCCACTAGCCCCATGCCCTCCATCCTCTGGATTATCCATGATTATTTTTTTTTGTTTGCCACCTCCAATTAGAGTGTCATAGATTTTTAAAAAATGAAACTAAAGTTTAAAATAACATGACAGTTTGATGAGTTAATGCTAAGTAAATACCTATATAAAATATTGATCCACCCCCTCCTCCTTTGTTGAAGCTGGGAGGGAGGAACAGTAAAAACAATCATGTGTTTTCAATAAAATGAAGGGTTCTGTCAGAAATGAGTGGGAAATGGGCACAAAATTATGGAACTGCCCTGGGTGGCTCTGCTGTCCTGGAAATGACTGCCAGATACAGGAAGTAGAGAGCAGAGGTCCACTGGGAACAGATCTCTGAAGTAGAGAGGGGCACTACTGGAGAGCAAGGGACCCTCCTCCCACCCACATCCCCCAGACTTCTCCCTCCTATGCTTGTGAACCTTTACTGGATTAATCAAGAACCTAGTGGGTAAAAATATAAAGTATATCAAGACGTCACCAAGCCAGCTTATTGGAGAGGCATAGTGGAAGACTCTAAAGAGGAGAAAATCTTCCATTAAGATATGTCTTAAAAATAAGTTAAATTGGTCGGCAAAGCCTGAGTCCTGTCCTCTTATCCTCCTCCCTGGACAGCATGAGCTTCACCACTCACTCTGCCTTCTCCACCAACTACCAGTGCCTGGTCTCTGTCCAGGCGCCCAGCTACAACTCCCAGCTGGTCAGCAGCATGGCCAGCGTCTGTGCAGGCGCCAGGGGCTCTGGTTCCCGGATCTCCATGTCCCACTCCACCAGCTTCTGGGGCAGCATGGGGTCCCAGGTCCTGGCCGCAGGGATGGCTGGGGGTCTGGCAGGAATAAGTGGCATCCAGAACAAGGAGACCATGCAAAGCCTGACAACCACCTGGTCTCCTACCTGGACAGAGTGAGGAGTCTGGAGACCAAGAACCAGAGGCTGGAAAGCAAAATCCAGGAGCACCTGGAGAAGGGACCCCAGGTCAGAGACTGGGGCCATTACTTCAAGACCATCGAGGACCTGAGGGCTCAGATCTTCGCAAATACTGTGGACAATGCATTCTGCAGATTGACAATGCCTGTCTTGCTGCTGATGACTTTAGAGTCAAGTATGAGACAGAGTTGGCCACACGCCAGTCTGTGAAGAACAACATCCATGGAAACGAAATCCATGACACCAATGTCACTCGGCTGCAGCTGGAGACAGATTGAGGCTCTCAAGGAGGAGCTGTGCTTCATGAGGAAGAACCACGAAGAGGAAGTAAAAGGCCTACAAGCCCAGACTGCTAGCTCTGGGTTGAATGTGGAGGTAGATGTCCCCAAATCTCAGGATCTCACCAAGATCATGGCAGACATCCAGGCCCAATATGGCAAGCTGGCTCTGAAGAACCAATAGGAGCTGGACAAGTACTGGTCTTAGCAGATTGAGGAGAGCACGACAGGGGTCATCACACTGTCCGCCCAGGTTGGAGCTGCTATGATGCTAACAGGGCCGAGACATATAGTCCAGTCCTTGGAGATCAACCTGGACTCCATGAGAAATCCGAAGGACAGCTTGGAGAACAGCCTAAGGGAGGTGGAGGCCTATTATGCCCTGCAGATGGAGCAGCTTAACAGGATCTTGCTGCACCTGGAGTCAGAGCTGGCACAGGCCCGGGCAAAGGGACAGTGCCAGACCCAGGAATACGAGGCCCTGCTGAACATCAGGGTCAAGCTGGAGGCTGAGATTGCCACCTACCGCCACCTGCTGGAAGACGGCAAGGACTTCAATCTTGGTGATGCCCTGGACAGCAGCAACTCCATGCAAACCATCCAAAAGACCACCATCCACTGGAGAGTGGATGGCAAAGTGGTATCTGAGACCAAAGACACCAAAGTTCTGAGACATTAAACCAGCAGAAGCAGGGTACCCTTTGGGGCAGGAGGCCAATAAAAAGTTCAGAGGTCAAAATTAAGTTAAATTATATTATTCTCAAGTCATTACAAATATAGGTAATGATTTCATTGAAGTCCAATGTTTCAATGAAGTCCATAATCAATTAGGGTTATTTGGAAATAAGACATGAAAGTTGCAAAAACAGACTTCTCCTATATATTCCTCCAACTTTCCCCAATGATAATATCTCACACAACCAAAGGTTATCAAAACCAGAAAACTGACCAGGCACAGTGGTGTGCCACTTATAGTCCCAGCTACTCAGGTGGCTGAGGTGGGAAGATCCCTTGAGTTCAGTAATTCAAAGCCAGCCTGGGCAACACAGTGAGACAATGGCTGTAAAAACAAAAATGGAAGAAAACCAGAAAACTGGTGTCATCAGTTGTGTTTAAGGAAACCAAGTCTCCTTTAAAAGTTTGTTATAAAATTATAGATCTCTCATAAATACTGAGGTGGAAAGATTCCCTGGAAGCAGCCTAGTCAGAAAGTGAAGACAGTGACATCCAGATAGGTTAATACTTCTGCCAGCACCATAATTACACTCTCTTGGCTGTACATTCCAATCACTGGAAGACAGGCGAAATTGAACCACTGGCTGGGCCCACCTTAAATCAATGGCCTCAACCTCTGCAGACAAGGCTCAATTATCAGTACGTTTTAAAACAACTTTGCCGCTGAAGGGTCACTTAAATAATCAACTGGTAAGGCCAGGTGCGGTGGCTCATGCCTGTAATCCCAGCATTTTGGGAGGCCACGGCGGGCGGATCACCTGAGGTCAGGAGTTCAAGACCAGCCTAGCCAACATGGTGAAACCCCCTCTCTACAAAAATACAAAAATTAGCTGGGCATGTGGTGTGTGCCTGTAATCCCAGCTAGGGGAGGCTGAGGTGGGAGAATCGCTTGAACCCGGGAGGCGGAAGTTGCAGTGAGCCGAGATCGCGCCACTGCACTCCAGCTTGGGCGACAGAGCGAGACTCCACCTTAAAAAAAGAAAAAAAAAATCAACTGATAACAGGCGATTAACAGGAGACAAGGCATACATAACACCGGAATAATAGCAGGAGAATCATTACCCAGTAGCTTAATGGAGTACAGAAGATTTTATATCCTTTTTTTCATAGGGGAAAGGGGAGATGGGAAATGTAGACATTTATTTTGAGAAGCAGCAAATGATTATTAGGAAGAATGAATGGACAGAAATTAATTAGCAAATAATTTTCTTTTGAGTTATCTTGTGAAAAAGTCCCTCCAGGCATGGCTGCATTTCTGTCTTTCTGAAATAGGATACCAGATCTCAGTGAGGGGAGGAATGCGATTGTTTCTTCTACAAAGAGGCTTCTCTAGTCTGGGAATGAAATTTCAGAGAGTACCTCCCGCACTTGGGGAAAGGGCGGGCAACAAGTCAAGGTTAGGGGGACCTGCATTATGAGGCAGCTTCTAAAGCCTCTCAGTCTTTGGGGTATCGCTTTCTGAGCGTCAAGAGTAAAACGTGATGCATTACTTTCCTTCCAACCTAGATTCTAGTAGTTTAGATCAGTATCATCGTTTTTACCTCAATGTTCAGGAAACGCTGGAAATTTCTAGCTAACATCACAGAAAAAAAAAACCCACGAGGTTGACTTCACCTATTCTGCCTACCCTCGGCAGGTAACTATGTATGAACTGACACTCCCAGGCATAATCAAATTACCTCTGTCAAGTCCTCGCCCTAAGACTATTTTTGGAAACTAGGGATTTTCCAGATTACTGAAAGCCTTGTCAGTGTCAAAGGCCGGGCAGGAGTTTCGCAAGCGGAGCTACGAAAGCAGCCGCCCTCACGGTCATTCCTGTGCCTCCGCCCTACTTCCCCACACTGGCAAAAACACGCCCCCCGGGGAACTTTCATCGGAACCGATACAGTCCACTGTCCTGTGTTCTTCAAATACTGTAAAGCAGGATAAATACTGTAAAGCAGCCCTCTCCAGTTTCCTTGAGGGTCACTTTATATTACACATTCGTCCACACACGACACCAGTCACCACTTTCACCCGCCAAAGCGCGCTCAGGTCGGCCGCCACTTCCCTTGGTACATGCGGAACACTAGCCGCGCCGAGGTTAAAGGAAGAGGCCGGAACGCAGGGTGAAGGGGCGCAGAGATGACAGCCAACGCCGCCATCTCTATTTTGGGCATAAGGGATCTTGTAAAGCTCCATTATTCGTGTGGCTAAGTATCACAAACAAGGTGGTGTCGACAGGCCTTGGCTAGAGAAGGCCTCCTTAGCCACTGATGACCCCAAGGTCTGTCGCAGCACCAAACACTCCTCGCAGGCCCGGATGCCGAGGGCGGAGGCGCGGCCTGAAGGGACTAGTTGGCGCGCGGCGGCCCGGCGTGGTGACGTCAGGGCGGAAGCGCACGCGGCGTGAAGCGGCCCAGAACCCGGCGGTCACGGGAATATCCGTCGCGCCGAGAACGCTGGTTAGTCTTGTTTCGGGTTCCGGCTGCGTTGAGCTTGCGTGCAGCTCGCTAAGACTATGGCGTCCGGGCCTCACTCGACAGCTACTGCTGCCGCCGCCGCCTCGTCTGCCGCCCCAAGCGCGGGCGGCTCCAGCTCCGGGACGACGACCACGACGACGACCACGACGGGAGGGATCCTGATCGGCGATCGCCTGTACTCGGAAGTTTCACTCACCATCGACCACTCTCTGATTCCGGAGGAGAGGCTCTCGCCCACCCCATCCATGCAGGACGGGCTTGACCTGCCCAGCGAGACAGACTTACGCATCCTGGGCTGCGAGCTCATCCAGGCCGCCGGCATTCTCCTCCGGCTGCCGCAGGTCAGTGCTCTGGCCCTGGGTCGGCTGGGCGCTCCTCTCCTCCCCTCCGTCCCCTACGCCGCATCCCCGTATCACTGTGCCCCGGGAGGGTGGGGACGGCTCCCTCAGGCTCTCCCATTCGGGGCCCAGCCGGGGCCGGGGTGTGCCGGGGCGGGGGGCTGCGGAGGCGGAGGGAGGACCTGGCAGCGGGCTGTTCGCGGCGGCGGCGGGAGGGGAAAGGGAAGCGATCGGCGGCACAAAATGGCGGCGGCGCCTGGAGCGGGCCCGCCTGACCCCTGCGCTTCCGTTCTCCTCTCTTGTCTGCAGGTGGCGATGGCAACGGGGCAGGTGTTGTTTCATCGTTTTTTCTACTCCAAATCTTTCGTCAAACACAGTTTCGAGGTAAGCACAGCGGAGGCGGGTAAAAGGGATTTCTTCATCCGGAAATGGGCAGAAGTAGGGGTAGTGTTAGCAGCCAGCTTTTCCAGAAAGGGAGTGGTTTAGTTTAGGCCTTTGTACCTACTTCTCACTCGCCAGGAAGTGGAAACCTTTAGAGTGTGGTTCACAATCCAGAAAATGGATCCCGAGCCTAAGTGCCCTCTTAACGAGAAGTAGTTTTCAACCAAATACAGAAGTGCTGTGAGATTGAGCTTGACTCTGGAACCAAAATTAAGATGAGTGGAACAACAAAGAGTGTAGTACTAGCATAGCTGGTAGGCTTATGGCATAGAAATGTCCGCTCTAATTTTACTAAAGATTGTCCCACTTGTGTTCTAAAGTTTATTCTTCAAAGTGAGTTTAATCTAACAATCGCTTTTGTGGCTCGTGGCTTCTTACAGATTGTTGCTATGGCTTGTATTAATCTTGCATCAAAAATCGAAGAAGCACCTAGAAGAATAAGAGATGTGATTAATGTATTCCACCACCTACGCCAGTTAAGAGGAAAAAGGTAAGATTGGCATTATTGAACATAGCATCACTTGCTACTGCTGTACTGTGCACTTGTCATCAAATCAAAACATCTTTCCTCTCAAGTGAATATGGATGCAAAAGAAAACGGACTTTAATTTAGGTGTTAAAGTTCATATAGGAACACTGATATTTAAAATAATTTGAAAAAAGAAACATAATTAACCGGTTATCTAAAGTTTGTAGAGGCAGTTGCATTTATGGACAATCCTAACAGTGCTGTGAAGCCAGGCCTGTGGCTTAAGATTAAACAAGAAAGGGAGTACATTTGGCTCAAGTGTGAGTGTATTCTGTAAGTTATTTTTCCTCTCCCCTCTCTGGAAGACTGAAGGCTGTGGAAGTTTAAACACTGTAGTTTAAGTTAATATTGTGGCAAAGTTCTGTGTAGATTATGTTTTTCTACTCGAAGTCCCAGTTAATTCTTTATCAATTGAGGTTGGCTTTTGTTAGAGTACTTCTCAACATTGAACTACGATATATCGAATAATACCGGATCTGAAAGGACTGCAGGATGATAAAGTTTGAAGTTTGAAGTCAAAGGGAATAAACAGGTATTTTGTTTTGGTCAGATACAGTCTCAGTGAGTGGGTTAGAAAATTAACAAGATTGACTGGGTTGCATTTAGATAAGGCTCATTTATTTGATGTTGTAAGAAAATACAGAGACTGAAATAGTATCTCCTAGGTGTTGTGGTAACATAATTTTATGTGGACCTATGTGTTCCTGTGAGGCAGTACCAAAAAGTTTGTTGCAGGACTTCCTGCATCTACAGGTGACTTTCAGTACATGCTGCAGAAGGATATATTTGGTGTAGATTAGTTTTTGTATTCACTCTTTAAGGAATTGTAGTGATGTTAGTCAGTGTACTGAGTTTGAAAGGAAGTTATTAAAAGGATTATAAGTTGTTCTGGGGGCTGGGTATGTTGGTTAGTGCTGTTAGTATCCTATATGTGTAGTCCTTATTGGCTGAATCTGTAAGTTGGCAGTAATGGAACTATTCAGACAAGCAAATATTAAAGCAACTTTTAGATGACTAGTCTATTCTGTGAGTCTACAGACAGTTCTTTTTTTAAAAAAAATATCCTAGTCAAAAAGTCTGAAACAGTTTTTCTACATACTTTTTCTCCCCCATCTTTTCTCATTCACCTTAACTGTGTCCAGGGATAGAGTAATTTTTAAATTCTAAAACATCTTTTAGTTTGTTGATGAGTCCCTGGGAATTGGGAAGATTTCAAATTGGTCTTTGGTATGGTCTGAGCTTTAATCTGTATTTAGATACCTGGCTGATTCTTCAGGATGTTTAAAGTTATGACACTAATACAAGGCTCTATCTTTAGTCAAAGGTTTCTCTTTGCTTAAAGGAAATGGTTTTCTAGTATTATTCTTTGAACCATTGAGCCAGCTATTATGTAATCATATGATTATCTTTTGTGAAATTTTCCTGTGAGACTAAGTTTTCTTCGTTGATGTCAGAATAGGTCTTACCTGTAAAAACCATGGAATTTAAAATAATATAATCTCACCTGATCGTTGTGTCTGATGTAACTTTGTTTTTTGGGTCATTATTACAGAGAAACTGATTTTGTTTCAATCTTAGAAGTCTGATTATAGCAAAATTTAAAAGGAGTTGTTAATTGCATGGAAGCCTTTTTTTAAAGCAGGATGTAAAAGTGTTTCTATGCATATTACAAGTTTACTCAAGCACGTAACTTGTATATGTTATTAACTTCAACTCTTTTTTCCCTTGCAACCGACTATACAGCGACCAGCTACATTTACCAAAGCCTGGGTGATGTGGAGTGGTACATAGAGATGAAGCTGTCGTCATGGCAACAGTGAGTGAAGTATCGAAAATCCCCAAGGAGAAGCCAGTGCTCTGAGAATAGGTCACTGGAATCGGGGACTAACAGGTTGGCCACTGGTGAACCATTTAGAAAAACTCCTGTTTCTTGTTACAAGCTTTTGTCTTTGCTGTCCAAGTTATTAAAACTATAGCTTTGTATTTATTTTTGCACAGGTTAATGTCATTAGAAAGTACTGTCGGTATTATACGTTAGTTAGGTAAAGCATACTTGTCTTGATGATGCTATTTGTTTTAATCTAGTTTATTCATAACTTTAAATTGTAGTGTGACTGTGACAGTTACAGTGGAGATACATTATTCATGTCGCCTGTAGGTCATTGGTCTCTTCACCCTGGCTACACATTGAGAATTAGCAGAGGAGCTTTTTAAAAAGTACCAGTGCTTAGTTCCCAACCTGGATTGTTTGGCCTATTCCTCCTTCAATTTTTTGTGGTTCAATAGTTATCTTTTAAGTTCACAATAAATGGCTAAATTTAAAGGGACGATTGCTTTTTCATTGTAGTAGTTTCCAAATATTTACTTTTGAGATGCAGCGTATTAAAATTTTCAAAGACTGCTTTAACCATTCTCATTAGTAAATGTCATGTACTTTCAGTGTATCCATAGATAATAAAAGTTGGATAGGTACGAATTGGAAAGGTATTAAGTGATGTTATTTAATCTACCAGTTTTCTATAGTATAATTCTGTGGCTCTACAAGGTGGCCTTCAGTTTGTTTAAATACCTATAAAGAATGTTTCTACTTTTAAGTAGGCATTACAGATTTTTTGTATATTGCTTGGCAGTATGCCTCTTTGTAAACTACCTATCTCTTACAGTCTCTTGAGAACCTGGTTCCAAAATTTCTCAGTCTTTGTAACACATAAATGAGACTAACCATGTTTGGACTTTGTAATTTTTGTTATTGTTGAGTTATATGTCAGTTACATAATCATGCTAAAGGAAAAAAGCTCCTCTAACAAACCATATAATAAACTTCTAATTACCGAAGACCAGGATTTTCTAAAACTGAAAATAATTCTCTTATAAATCAGAAACATCGGACAATAGAAACTTAAAGCAGAAATTGAGTTTGTGTGTTGATAATGAAAATTATTTCTGAGTTTTCTCTGAATAGATGAAGACTTCTTTTTTAAAGAGATTTTAAAATGCCACCTCCCCAGACTTTATTGGCAAGGAAAGTTTACCTGATTAGGGAGGAAAAAATTCTAGCAGACCTTAATTTAATGTGCTTTTTGCAACAGAAAGTACTAATTTGTAATTTGAAACTTTGTTTACTGCTGGTTTATGGAGATACATTTTTTTAAATTTATGATACAAAGTAATCTCTACCAGGTAGTTGTAAATTACAGGTGCACCCTTGATTTGTGAGGTAGAACCAATTCTGAACAAAATAAAAGTGTCTGGTTTTAGGTTATATACCCACAAAGTTAACTTTGAAAATTGTGGGTAATAAATAGCAGGATTAAGCAAGAAGTTAAGTGTATATTGAATTATAGTAAATAATGGGTTTAGTTTTCTTAAATCTGTTTTGATGTCGTTGGGATTTTGACACAAAAACAGAATATTGCGTATAAGTTTGATTTGGGACTAAATAGTAGCTATAATTCAAACAAATATTTAGCTGCTTTAGTGTAATTGCAAGAACAAATGAATTATATCACCATTTGAAGGCAGCTCTTAAAGCAGGTTATGTTAAGAGGTGTCATTTTTATTAACAAATAGAGAAAAATGAGACAACTATATTTTCATAAAATTACATTTTATTAGGGATTTTGATGATACCATTTTCTGTCTGGATTGCAAGGGGTTAAGAGTTAAAACGGTGTGCAGCTGTAACACTGGAGCTATTTTATCTCTTAATGCCAGTTAAGGAGAGCCATTAGATAACACCACCATAAGTTAAATAGAGTCTGAGGTTGGTGTACTTTTTTTCCAAATTTCCTATGATGATAATACCTGATCATAAACCTTAAGATCTTTGCAATATGTTTATATGTATGTATGTATATGTGTATGTGTATATATAGAGAGAGAGAGAGGTTGCTTTCATGAGAATTAAGTTTGACTTATTTTCCAAAGAGCAATTTGTAGCCTACTGTCCTGATAAAATGGATTCATCATTACACGTTAATATTAGAAAGCAGCTCAATGAGGCCAGCTGGTGGCCTCATTCCTCATAGGTGTGAGGAATGGGTCTGAGTGAAGGCCATTTTAAGTAACAGATGTCTTTTATCTTGTTAGTTCTGCCAATTTTTGTTTAGTAAGCATTCCAGTTTCTGTAATAATTTTAAATGGAGGAAAGTAAGGAAAATGTGTGATAACTGACTTTTTACTCTAATGTTACCATAGGGATAATGAAGTTCATTGCAGATTGTTTTCTAACCTTTGGTGCATGTATCAAAGTAGATTTTTGTTTTAAAAATATGAGATACATTTTTCTGGATCTGATGTTTATTGGGGTAGAGAGGATAACTGTCTTAAAAATAGATCGTGTATCCTGCCTAGAGCAAAGACTCTTAAGTCTTTTGGCTGAAAATGAAATGAGTATGGACAAAAATATTGAAGTATTCTACTTTTACCATATAATCAGTGTCTTGATAACAATTGTAGTTTTTGTTGGTTGGATCTAAGAATGTGTTGGACTTGGGTAAATTTCAGACATGACCAACAACAGAAAACAAAAGCCCAATTCCTTAACCTTTCCTGACTGAAACTTCTCGGGAAGAAACCAGTTCCGAATTGTAAGACATAAATAAGATCGTCTTTTATTGTAAGTTTTTAAGCTATGTAATAAGTTTTTAAACTATATAATAAAACATAGGGGGATAACATCAGTTGAATGTGCTACTTTTAAAGCATTAAACCACTAACATAAGCCTTCTGTATTATAGAAACTTCCGAGTTACCAAAATTTAGTCTGGTACAGAGCCCTTGAATATGTTCTGGTTCCCTCACTATAGCCCTTCATTCTCTTCTGTATTAATACTAAAGCATATTGCCTAATAACTACAACCCTGACCAAATTTTGGCCTGGATCTCATGGGTCACGTGGAGTTTTAAATGTGATTTTTAATTTATTTGGGTAATTGACCTGAATCTATAGTTTTCAGATTACTTTTTTAAACAGGTAGGCTCTTAACAACAGATTGTTAAAAACATATTACCCCATTGGAGGGGAATCTGGATTAACTACCCACTGTTCCCCCCCAACTTTTGAAAAATTTTGGCCATAAACCAGCCAAGAGTTATTATTTTATAGAATGACTGAAATATTTATTAGTATGATCTTTGAGGACTTTATAGTACTGTAAATCTTAGGAGCACGTTAGTTTTTTTTTTTTTTTTTTTAAGCCAGTCAAATAGCAGTGGGGGGATTGTATACCAACTTTAGTGACACTGATTTTAGTAAGTTCTGATAACCCACTACCATCGGACCAGCCTGGAGCACATTACTTTGACCAGTGGAAAGTCTCTTGGAGAGACTTTGAGGTTTGTGATAACAAATCATGCTATCACTAAAGTTAAATACATATATATATATATATATATATACACTCCTAGAATATAAGCAGAATGGAAAAGTTGGCAAGGATGAATTAGAGCATTGGAGTGAATTTTTTTCATTACAGAATTGTTAGTTCCTTTAGGAACTTAGTCTCGTAGATGTATATATTTAATTAGCATAACTTGGACAGCACAAGATTAATGCTTTAACTTGTTTGCAGGAGTTTAAAAAGCTGGTTTCTGTTGCCAATAGTTGGTTGGAAGGGAAAATGGAGATGCCACAAATAAAATTTTTTGGATGTGCAAAACAGTTTTGATTTTATTTCTTACAAACTATAGGACTCCAAGCCCCCTGATCCTTGATCAGAACTACATTAACACCAAAAATCAAGTTATCAAAGCAGAGAGGAGGGTGCTAAAGGAGTTGGGATTTTGTGTTCATGTCAAGCATCCTCATAAGGTGAGTTGTAGAGTACAGAAATTGGGTTCGTAAGTATTAGGACTTTTATAAAAATTCTATTTTATATGAATTTATGTTTCTATCTGAGCATTAACCTTGGTTTTAAAAAGCATTCCTTTAAAGGTTCAGGCTTCATCGAAAAACATTCTTTTGGATGTTGAGATTTATCAGTAAAGTGACAGTCAAAAATGTAGATTCAAATCTTAAATCTTAATTGTGTGCTCATAGAGAAATTATTTTTGTTTCTGTGGTTAAAGTCCCAGTTTTTCCACCTAGAATACAGAGATGTAAAGTTCCTCATTCCAAGGAATAAATGTGTAGCTACAAAAGTGTCTGGCACACTTACTGTCATAGTAGAATGTTCTAAGTGTGTTGGCTGCTCACTGTTAGCATTATCGGAAATTTGTTTCTCCCAACATCTCTTAGCTTTCTCTTACCGCAATATAAGCGGTAGAGTGAGTTACCCAGGTCAGGACTACCTGGGCTAGAAATGTACCTTGGGAAATTAGGTGAAATAATCTAGCACAGTGCCCATCACATAGTAAAGTGCCAATGAAAAATACTCTTTTAGTTTCCTTTTTTTCCTGTACAATTCTGAAATGTACTTCTAAACAGAATTTATATAAAATCTAGTCATATAACAGTTCACAATAGAATCTTACGTACATTTAAATTGGTCTGTATTATCGATGCAGAATTATAACTTGAATCTAACATTTTCAATTACTTTTTTCATTGAACTCTACTCGGAAAGAACTACCAGTATACTAAATTGAGTTTTTTTCCCTTGTCCTTCAGATCATTGTTATGTATTTACAAGTCTTAGAATGTGAACGTAATCAAACCCTGGTTCAAACTGCCTGGTAAGTCACTTTTTTAGATTTCTTTCCTAGCCAGGAAAACAGAAGCAGAAATAAAGTAAGTTTCATTTTCCCTTTCCAAAATAATGAGATAAGTTTGTTTGGGGCTTTTTGTTGTTTTTTGTTTTTGTTTTTTTTTTAACCAAAAGGTAAATAATGCTTATTTCTGCTTCCTGTTTTCTTGGCTTGACTAATTACTTTTAATGGAGAACTCAATTTAACTTTGTTCTTTTTTCTACTCTTTAATTAAAGGGTAGTCCATGATGGTAAGTCATAGAACTCTGCCCTCTGCACTTCAGCCCATGACCTCAGGATGGCCTGATTGGCTACCCTGCTCTCCAGCCAATCCAGTGCAAGCTCTCATCCGAGATTCACTGAAGTGGTCCATATCCATCTGGCAGCATCTTCTAGTTCTGTCGGGGTGTCAAAAGGATTTGTATATTTGCTTCTAGAAGTAACTATTTGACATGCCTATGTATTTAATGTATACTTGTAACTATCAAAATGAATAGTTCATTTTTGATAGATTTGTTGTCCAGCCATTATGAATTAAATGGTTTCTTATTAGGAGTTTGACTAAATTTTTATTTTTAGTATGTATAGCATGAATTCTACCAAAGGAGACTACAAACTTGCAGCTTAAAATGGGAACCAGTTCCCACACTGGCTTAATTTATATAACTGCTTGGCTGTATTGCGGGTAATATTAGAAGCAAGAAGCACTTCATTTTTAAAAGAGATGTTACTATTATATTGCTTAAATGCCTTAGCACTTGGACTTTTTGAGATGCAGATGTGTGATTTAGAGTGCTGGCTTATTTAAAGGTCAAGCCAAGGAGTTTGTGGATCAGCCACAACTACTGTTTCCTAAGACTATTGATGTGAAGGACTTAGTGAAGTAATTTTTATATTTTGGACTTCCCAGCAAGATGTCCTTTTAATGACTGCCATGCTTCTTTTGGACTCAGTAAATATTTGTAATGTTAGAAAAGTCTCATTACTTTTATAAAATGCATGACATTTTAAGTATGTGTTGCATAAAATGGATTATAGCAGTTCTCATGGTTTAGGATTTTTAAGAAATAGTCCATTTAATTTCAGCTTAACCTTTTAAATGACCTGTAAAATTTCTTTAATAGTTTAGGAATGTTGTGGGGAGGGTTCATTAATAAAAGTTCAGCAATTTTTTAACTGAAGTAGTTTATCTCTTTTACCTAGTCACAAAAAAGGTATGTAAACAAGGCCATTATATGTGTTTATTGCTCTTTACTTCCCTATCTAGATTTTCTAAATATCTTAATTTTCTTAATATAAGTTTAACTTGTTACTTACTGAAAATGCCTTTTTACCCCTGTTAACGGTATTTTGAGCTTTTGAAAAGAACTTGGTTGACACTGCTTTTATTGTGGATAAAGGAGAGATGGTCAGTAATTAATGGCTTGAAGTATTATTGGAGTGGTTTATCATTTCTGAAACTAATCATTTCAGAATTGACTTTGAAAGCATTGCTTTTTACAGAAATATATTAACTTTAGGAGTAATTTCTAGTTGGATTGTAATACGAAATAATTTAAAAGAGCTTCGCTCATATATAGGAAAATTGCAAATGGTCCTACTATTAAATTCTTACTGCTTACTGATTTTTTTGAATTAAGAGTTGTTATATGCTAGAATATGAGGATGTGAATATAAATAAGAGAAGAAAAAAGAATAAAGTAGATTGAGTCTCCAATTTTATGTAAGCTTCAGAAGAACTGGTTTGTTTACATACAAGCTTATAGTTGAAATATTTTTCAGGAATTACATGAATGACAGTCTTCGAACCAATGTTTTTGTTCGATTTCAACCAGAGACTATAGCATGTGCTTGCATCTACCTTGCAGCTAGAGCACTTCAGGTAGGTGTATATTTCCCATTTTGTTCTGTAGGATAAATCACACAAATTTTCGGTGGTTCCAATACAGATTTAGCAAAAATTTAACCTAAACCATTCTGTTCTTATGGTTTAGATTCCATTGCCAACTCGTCCCCATTGGTTTCTTCTTTTTGGTACTACGGAAGAGGAAATCCAGGAAATCTGCATAGAAACGCTTAGGCTTTATACCAGAAAAAAGGTATTCTCTATTTACTCGTTTGTGCCAAGATGCTAAGAGTCTAAGCTACTGTAAGGGAGAAATACTAACTTTCTTTTTTCCCCAACAGCCAAACTATGAATTACTGGAAAAAGAAGTAGAAAAAAGAAAAGTAGCCTTACAAGAAGCCAAATTAAAAGCAAAGGGATTGAATCCTGATGGAACTCCAGCCCTTTCAACCCTCGGTGGATTTTCTCCAGCCTCCAAGCCATGTAAGATGTATTTAGAATTAAAACGACTTGGGGGCACTGAAAGTGTATTTCTATTAGAGAGCTTTTACATTTGAAAGTTGCATAGAGAAAAATGATGTTAAGAAACTGCTACTATGTTCTCTTACGGCAGTCAGCTAAAGACTGATACTTGGAAGCGGAAGCATGGTACTTTGAGTTACATTTAGAAACAACTTTTTGGCCCTCTGTTAAATCTAGTAGTTAACATGCTGTTATGTCTTTTAAAAGCATCGCCAAGAGAAGTAAAAGCTGAAGAGAAATCACCAATCTCCATTAATGTGAAGACAGTAAAAAAAGAACCTGAGGATAGACAACAGGCTTCCAAAAGCCCTTACAATGGGTGAGTATACTTGGGCTGGAAAACTGGCTTGAGGAATCTTTTATGTGTTTACTTTTTAACACACTAAGTTTGTAACTAATGTGTCATGATTTTTTGAAGTGTAAGAAAAGACAGCAAGAGAAGTAGAAATAGCAGAAGTGCAAGTCGATCAAGGTCAAGAACACGATCACGTTCTAGATCACATACTCCAAGAAGACAGTAAGTAAATGTTTTCTTAGAGAAGCAGTCTTATTTGGAGTTTTTAAAGGTTAATGTTTTTTCTTTAAAAATTGAACATAGATTATTTTCAAAGTTAGGTTAGAATTAGGCTTTTAATATGAGGTAAATTATGAGAAATGAGTTTGGAGATGTTCTGGACATACAGTATCTTAATGGTATTCTGTTATATTTTCTCCCATGTTTTTTGGAGAAGTGTAGGAGCTACCCACAAAGTGCTTGAGGGCCATAGTATTGTTTTTAATGTGAAAACTCCTTTTTTAAAAAATTTCAGTTAGAAAATGTATTTCATTAACCCCTTATTAATAACTAATAATCAAATTAACCAATGAATCCTTCCTAGTTAGGCTTGTAATTAGATTGTTAGCTCCTCGTGGCTCTTCAATGTCTTTTGAGCATGTGGGAGATACTTAATAAAAAGCATAGCTCTAGGACACTAAAAATTGCTAATTACTCCCCTTGGAATATAGACATAAGAACATTTGCTTAAGATTTAATATGTTACATATAGGCTTGGGCATACAGCAGTGATGGGTGGGGAGATTTTGAAAAGTTCTGGTTTGTCATTTATGTAGCTGGTAGTTTTGTTTTGAACCTGTTATGAGCAACCACCAGAGTAATCTGTTCCCCATAGAAACTGAACCTAAACTTCAAATTTTTATTATCTAAGCTATAATAATAGGCGGAGTCGATCTGGAACATACAGCTCGAGATCAAGAAGCAGGTCCCGCAGTCACAGTGAAAGCCCTCGAAGACATCATAATCATGGTTCTCCTCACCTTAAGGCCAAGCATACCAGAGATGATTTAAAAAGTTCAAACAGACATGGTCATAAAAGGAAAAAATCTCGTTCTCGATCTCAGAGCAAGTCTCGGGATCACTCAGATGCAGCCAAGAAGCACAGGCATGAAAGGGGACATCATAGAGACAGGCGTGAACGATCTCGCTCCTTTGAGAGGTCCCATAAAAGCAAGCACCATGGTGGCAGTCGCTCAGGACATGGCAGGCACAGGCGCTGATTTTCTCTTCCTTTGAGCCTGCATCAGTTCTTGGTTTTGCCTATCTACAGTGTGATGTATGGACTCAATCAAAACATTAAACGCAAACTGATTAGGATTTGATTTCTTGAAACCCTCTAGGTCTCTAGAACACTGAGGACATTTTCTTTTGAAAAGAACTATGTTAATTTTTTTGCACATTAAAATGCCCTAGCAGTATCTAATTAAAAACCATGGTCAGGTTCAATTGTACTTTATTATAGTTGTGTATTGTTTATTGCTATAAGAACTGGAGCGTGAATTCTGTAAAAATGTATCTTATTTTTATACAGATAAAATTGCAGACACTGTTCTATTTAAGTGGTTATTTGTTTAAATGATGGTGAATACTTTCTTAACACTGGTTTGTCTGCATGTGTAAAGATTTTTACAAGGAAATAAAATACAAATCTTGTTTTTTCTAAACTGCTTCAAATATCTTATTTAAATAAATTATTAAAAAGCAAAATTTTAATAGCAAAATGGCTGTACTGGTTTTCTGATGAACTTATTCTTTCCTCCATTAGATGGTAGTATGAGATTATTAAAATGCAATTCTTAACTGCATCGTGAGCTATTGTAAGTCTTCACTGTATATATGGAAAAAGGGAATGGGAGTCACCCAACAATGTAACATTAAATATTGTAGCACTAAACCAAAAAACCTGATTTGCATAAGGTAATTTTGAGTCAGATTTAAGTACTATTTCTGAAATGAGGTGCTGTATTGAATGAACCAAAACTTAGTAACTATTGAGCTTTAACAGTTCTGTATCATTTAGGCATTTAATGTTATGACTTTTATGTAGGCTAGGAGAAAAGGCGAGGCCCCTGAACTTGAGTCGTTGATAGAATACAAGCTGATCACAAAGAAGTGAAGTTTTGATGAAAAAGCCGGAATTTCTATCCAAATGAATGTTTTCAAGTTACTCACATTTGGTATTTTTTTCAAGATTTTGGAAATCAGTTTACAGATCTTAAAAGTCAAAAATGTTGCATTACTTTATAATTACACTAAGATCTCCATTACATTTATTTTACCTACTTTAATTGTCCACTAGACTTGGCTCCAAGTGATTTGTTGCTGTTTCAAGAAATAACACCCACAAAGAGGAAGATGTATTACTGCTAAGGATATTTTTAAAAATAAAGTTACAGCTTCTGAAGAGCATTCCAAAGTCTTACAATGTGTTCACCAATGGCAAGTGGTGGAGGCTGGAAAAAGTAGCTTCTCAAGGCAACTCCTTTGAAGGAGATGAGATTCATTAGGATATAAAAGTGTTGGGAGTGCTACTTAAATCAGTTATAGTTGTAACTATAAAGACTAACCAGAACTAACAAGACCCAGTGTAAATTAGCCACTTCATGCTTGAAAGAGGGTAGATAGTTCATTAAGACATTTCTGCATGATTTGTAATACACATTGCTGAATTATAAATTGATATTCTGAAAAGCTAACTGCTTCTAAATGCTAAACTGTTTGTTTCCTTTACAAGACATTGAAAAAAGGCAGAGGCAAATGTCAGCAAAGGCCCTGTTAGCAAATTAATCTTGAATTTTTTTTTAACTTTTTTTTTTTTTAGAGACGAGGTCTTGCTACGTTGCCCAGGTCGGTCACGAACTCCTGGCCTCAAGTGATTCTCCCACCTCAGCCTCCCAAGTATTAAATTCTTATTGAAATTATTTATGTGCTTTATCTTTGCTGGGAAATAGGAGTGCTGTGGGTGAGGGTTGTTTGTGAAGATGGGGAATTGTGGAGGATACACCTGCATGTGGAATGAGGTTTGTATGTTAACGGTGTTTTTAGAGGTGGCTTTGTGGGCTAGACGAAGATTTTTTTCAGGGTCTTGATTTTTGTCTTATTGTCTGTTACTGAATCTGTTTTCTAAGTTGTCAAAGGATGTTAACCTCATGCTGCTCTATGGCTATTTTAAAGCTTTTTCTAAAAGTAATACTCATTTTCAAACTTACTTTGAGAAACAAAATTGTGGAATACCCATAATACCTGTTTATCAGCTCCAAAAATAATGATTAGCAAAACTTACTTAATCTGTGTCCCACCAATTCACCACTCCACCCTTGCTATTGGGAAGAAAATCCCATACAAGGAAAGTTTGTTCCCAAGTGTTTCAATCCACAAGACTGAGGATTTTTAAAACATCACCATATAGCTTTATTGTAAGAGTTAAAAGTAATGCCATACTACCCCTGTCAGTATCCAGAAAGCCCTCATCTCTGATTTGTTTTAACTGGTTTGTTGAAAGTCCAAATATGTTGCATTGGCTTTAACCACAGGCTTCTCCGTATTTCTTACTTGAAATTGGGTCATGTCCAGAAGAATTTTTCACCTTCTGGGTTTGTTCATTGTAACTCTGTGCTGTCACTGAACACATTTTTCTGTCCACTGTGTGGTAAACTGAGGCTTGAACAGATTCAGGTTTAATTTTTTTATTTGTCTGGAATTCAGAAGCCTGGACACCCAGATTGTTATTTTAGAACTGAAAACTAGGTTGCTGCCTCATCCACCAGGTATTTTACTGGGTTCTCAGTTTTTATCCATTGGTGCTTGTACTTCACTGGCTTTTGTATCTCTTTTCCCTCTGTCCTCTGTCTCATGTTTTGGTTGGCCCATTACAGCAATGAAAATGTTATTTGTCCTAATGATCCTGATATTTTTTTCCTTAAATGCCCACGAATTAAATCCTTTTTTTTTTTTTTTTTCTTTTTGAGATGGAGTCTTACTCTGTCGCTTAGGCTGGAGTGCAGTGGCGTGATCTCGGCTCACTGCAAGCTCCACCTCCTGGGTTCACGCCATTCTCCTGCCTCAGCCTCCCAAGTAGCTGGGACTACAGGCTCCCTGCACCACATCTGGCTACTTTTTTTGTATTTTTAGTAGAGATGGGGTTTCACTGTGTTAGCCAGGATGGTCTCGATCTCCTGACCTTGTGATCCACCCGTCTCCGCCTCCCAAAGTGCTGAGATTACAGGCGTGAGCCACCGCGCCCAGCGAAATCCTGATTCTTAATACAAGTCCTTATATGTTATGGAACATTACATTTGTCCTTTGCAGTTGGTATCTTTAAAGACCGGTGAAATTCTTAACCATGTTCACATTTTAAAACAAAGTGAACATAAAAATGACTAATTCTTTCTTAGAACTGAAGTTCTAAGTTTTGCTTTAATTGCTTTTAAGTATTGCCACTTATAACCCCATTATTAACACCACAGTCTGCATCAAAAGCTCACTTTAAAACATTCAGTTTTC